ACTGCACCAACCCCTAGGATTGTGGCCAAGGACTCCTGATCTGGCGTGGAAATATTCTTGCTAAAGCACACAGCCGATTTCTCAAAGTTAACGCGTTGGCCCCTCAGTTCCTCATATTCATTCAGCACCTCAATTAAATTCTCGCACTCCTTAAGAGAACCTCGCAAGAATAAGTAAGAATCATCCACGAAGAACAGGTGCGAGACTCTAGGAGCACGAGGAGCTACTTTCACCCCCTCTAATTTTTTCTCCGTGATTTCCTTTCGGAGGAGGGCTGCAAACCCCTCCGTGCAGAGCACAAACAAGAGAGGAGAGAGCGGATCCCCCTGGCGAAGGCCCCTAGAGGCAGTGAAATAACCCGAGGGTGTACCATTCATCAGAATCGAGAAAGAGGAGGATCGAAGACATTCATGTATCCATCCTTGCCAGACTGAATTAAAACCCATCTTATCCAAAACTGCAAGAAGGAAGGGCCATTCGACTCTATCATAGGCCTTTTCCATGTCAACCTTCAGAGCCATGTACCCCTTATTCCCTTGCTTTTTTATTTTCAGATAATGCATTAGTTCATGTCCTATAAGGATGTTATCAATAATCTGCCGGTCTCTGATAAAACCATTTTCGCCCTCTGAAACGATCTGAGGGAGCATGCTAGCCAGCCGTTCAGCCATGATTTTGGTAATCATCTTGTAAACAAACTGGCAGAGGCTAATCGGACGCAATTGTCTAATTGTTTCCACCGAGTCCACTTTAGGGATCAAAGTGAGCCAAGTATGGTTAAAACTCCGCAGCATCCGACTTGAGGTACAGAAGGAAATTACTGCTTCAACCACCAAAGTGCCCACAATATCCCAGAAAGCTTTAAAGAACTTCCCTGTGAAGCCATCCGATCCCGGGGCCTGTTTCGATCCCATGGAAAAGATCGTACTCCGAACATCACTAGGCAAAACCTCCGCCGTCAATTGCGCATTCATTTGCGGAGTAACACTATGGGAAATCGGCAGATTCGCCACCCTCTCAGCCATATTAGGAACCTGAGTTTCTGAAGTAAATAGGGTCTGGTAAAAGTTGGTGGCAATAGTAGCCTTCCCGGTTTCCTCAGTGACCCATTCACCCTCCTCATTTCGAAGCTCGGAAATAAAGTTTCTCTTCCGCCGCGCCCTTGTGACCCTATGGAAGTAGGCAGAATTTGGATCTCCTCTTTTTAACCATTTAACCCTGGATTTTTACTGCCAGAATACCTCTTCCGCTTCCTACTGGCGGGAGAGCTCTGTTTCCAAGATCCTGATCTCATCCCTATCCACCGGATGGATCGACTTTATCCTATCAATCTCGGCTTGGAGCGTCTTGATATTACCCAGGGAATTAGTTGTGCCCGCCTTGCTCCAATCATGGAGAAGATGACGGAGTTTCTTTAGGCGCTCCCACAGTCGAAACATAGGGGTGCCTTGGATCTCCTCTTGCCAAACATAGTTGACCATGACCCTTACCTCCGGATTATCAGTCCAACGGGCATCAAAACGGAAAAGGGGCCTAAAGAGGGGAGTGCGGTTTATATAGGCTGTAAGGGGAAAAAATCTTATCAACATAGAATCGCCTACTGCCAATGACAAATGGAAGAGTAAATGGCGATAGGATTTTCATATCTGATAAGACCTCTACAACTTTTCCCTATGCAATTGATGCTTTTGGAGCAGGTCTGCAGGTGTGCTTCTTTGGAGGGACCACCTGGTGCAATTGATGCTTTTGGAATAGGTGTGCTCCATTTGAGGGACCACAGGCAGGTTTGTGCGGTACTAGGAATCAACTCACTTAATGGACTCAAGTGTGAACAAGGCAGGTTATTTAGACCCACTCGTTTTATTTAAATAGCCCAAACTAAAATTTCAACGAATTCAGTCCAGCCCATGTATGTCTTGCGCATGATTGTTCTGTTGAAGAGAAGGATTTTATTTGAAAACTTATATACAACATCCTTTAGTTCATGATATGGCGTCGGTTTGTATGTTCTGGTCAAGGAACAAAGCGCGACCGAAAGGGTGAACGAAAGAGGGAACCAAAAGGAGAGACGAGATTTGACTGCAAATCTCGGATGCGTGTTCGACTAGACAAGTCAGATGGGAAGTGGTTTGTGGATACCTTTGATAACGTGCACTTTTACGTAATGGTTCCTAAAAAATACAGGCACTACATGAGAGGGAATCGACAGTTGAGTGATGCAGTTAAAGCAGCAATCAATTTCCGGAGAGCTGCAGGAATGAAAACATCACAGATTGTTTCACTAGCAGTTGCGGAGGCAGTAGGCTATAGCAAGATGGGGTTCACGAGGAAGGATGCGTATAATTACGTGGACAAAGATCGGAAGGAACATATTAGTGATGGTGATGCTACGACAGCCCTAGCTTACCTACAAGCAAAACTTAGTGCGGACGAACAGTTCGTCATTGAGCTAAATAAAGACGATAATGACAGGCTTGTTAACTTGTTCTGGGCAGATAGTATTTCAGTGGCTGATTATGCATGTTTTGGAGAATTATTGGCTTTTGATGCAACTTACAAAAAGAACGTCTACAATATGCCTCTAGTCATTTTTTCAGGTACTAATTATTTTATTTTAGAATCATAGTAACTGATATTTGCATTCCTATAAAGTATTTATTCATTGAAACTTAATAGCACACGTTATAGAGCCTAATGCAATATCACTCTCATGCATTTTTAACCTCTTATGGGTACAGTGTAATTCTTGTCTTATTATGCGTTTATTTTTTAGGCGTGAACCACCACTTCAACAGTTGCATATTTGGATGTTCTTTTTTGGCAAATGAGAAAGAAGACAATTATGTATGGGTTCTAGATGCCTTGCGGAGAAGGTTGGGCGGTGTAGATCCTAAAAATATTGTTACAAATGGAGATAAAGCCATGCGCAATGCGATTCAGCAAGTATTCCCCGATGCAACACATTGTTTATGTGCCTGGCACATAGACAAGACTATTGCCAAAAAAAGTGAAGGACAATCTTAATTTCTTGCCACAATGAAAACATTTCGTGTCGCTGATTGGGACCCTTCAGAATTTGAAGAAAAGTGGAAAACAATGGTCGAGCAGTGCTCACAGCAACACAACAATAGGGTCTCCCATCTATTTGACCAAAGAACTGAGTGGGGGTATACATACTTGCGCTCTAAGTTCTTTGCGGGCTTGTCAACAACGTCTAGATGTGAAGGAATGAACTCTCAGTTTACCAAGTATATCGAAAACAATCATAATCTACTCGAGTTCTTTATTCATTTTGATCGTTGGGCTAGGGATATGAGGGAGATGGAGCAACAAGCTAATTTTGAATCCATCCATCATGAACGGACCATAACATCTAATATATTAGTCTCAATTCATAAGAGTGCGTCTACGTTATTCACAAAAGAAGCCTTTTTCAAATTCAGAGATCAGTTGAAAAGTCGGCAGCTTGTGTAAGGATGGATTCAGAGTTATCGGAAAACCAGCGCATTTACAAAGTGACAATGTCAGGTAAACAAAGGGTTTTTCAGGTCACATATACAATTGAGCCCTTTGCTATGGAGTGTAGTTGTAACTATTACCACTATATGGGAATACCATGCTCTCATATGGTTCATCTACTGAAAGAAGAGGGTATGCTGGAACTTCCATAACGGTTGGTAAAGTTAAGGTGGTCAAAGAAGCCGAAGACACTTGATAGCTTACAATAACCACACAATATGGACGAGGGTAGACTATTCGCATTCAGGTTCATAGTTACTGTATAAAGGTAGTAATTGTGTGTTTAAGAAAGTAGTTAAGAGATGTTTTTTTAAATTCTAAGATGGTACCAGAGGGCATTGACTCATTTTAGAACATCAGCGTTCACACTTTCGTGACGTTTTAATAGAATAATATTGAGTGTGATTTTCAGGTATGGGCTTCTTCAACAAAGCAGCTCCCAGTTATGGTTAAATGGGGAAAAATCAAGCGATAGCTTCAAGCTTGCTCGTACAGGAATTGCATCCCTATGTGAATCGCTAGACATGATGAATGAAGGTGATCCTGAGATCCCAGATATCAATAGACCAAAGTCAAAAGAGAAACTTTTGGATCCACATCCAGTGAAATTCAAAGGTTCGGGTGGACAAGAAAACAAAAGGAAGAAAGGGGAGCCACGAATGTGTAGCAGATGTGACGTATTGGGTCATAAAAAAAGCACTTGTAAAAACCCTCCTCGGGATGTGACGCCTACAATACCACAACCTACTGATATTGTATCTAATGACGGAGCTGCTGGTGACACAGTACCAAATAATGAAGAACCAAATAATGAAAACATCGCCAACAACGGAGCTGACCAACAGGCACCACAAACTCGTAGAAAACCAAAACATTGCAGTAAATGTGGGAAGGACACTCAAAATGCCAGAACTTGTCCGGAGTTATCAGAGGAGGGTACTGAAGAGGATGTTGATACAACGGACATCCCCGATCCACCAAGTGTAATATTACAAGTTCATTGTGCATGTATAGAAAAATTTTGGGAAAAAATTATTTTCATTGGAACTAAACTTTGTATATTCAATGTTGCAAAAGAAGCCATCTACTAGAAGGGAAGGCCTGAGGAGCAGCAAGAAGGCTACTTGAAAAGATTGGCATGCATTCTAATAACAGGAGACACATTTCGTATCTGGTCATTGGTTTGGTATTCTATGGACGAGTTAGGATATTTGATTCTAGGACGATATGATGTTTTGTTGGGTGTTTTTTCATACTTTCTAGTCCTGGTGGTTCATGTTTTTGGTTCATTATACTACTTTTCCAATCAACACTGTATGCCTCTACTTTTCTGGTCCAGATATTTTTGTGTTTAGTTCATTATTCTTGTTTTGAGTAAGACCTAGCAAACCAAGAAAGGGTATACTTGAAACTTACTGGTGTGCATAAGCAGAGTGGCCCATCTGTCCTCTTCTTGGAAAATCCATGCACGCCCATCCGTCCTTCCGCTTCAAACTTTGGTGGTCTTCCACTTCACCCTAAATCCCAGTTGATACGGAAGACCAAAGAAGAAAACATAAGGAGTGCCAAATCCAAATATTCCAATTTAGACATTATGATTTGAACCAATTATAAACTACAAACTGAAAATTATGAAGTATAAGAGAAACAAGATACATTTCTAGCTAGATTAACAAGTGCAACCACAACATCATCAACATCAGTCTCATTTACCAACTCCTTTTCAATATGGTATTTAGCTCCACATGCCTGCACAACATGTCTATAGTCAGTAACCAATATTCAGATACAATATGTCTTCAGCCACATGTGCACACACGCAAAACACTCTCTGTTTAAGAACATCTAGCTTGGATATAATTGTTAATTTGTGTCCCAGATTCTCCAATGACCACCTCAGAGATACATTTACCTCAAACAGCATAGTCAAAAGTTCAGCCATTGCAGGATTTGGATCCCTTTCATAATGCTCCACCCATGTCTTTGCCACTTGAGGTATTCTTCTTCCATTACCCTAGATAGCCTCTGATCCAAAAGTAAGACATAAATCAGAAAGCAAAAACAAACACTTTTGACACACATCCAATAATAATTATTTGAGGTATGCATGAATACCAACATCCATCGTGACGTTGAAAAGAGACAATATGGATCTCCCATCTGCCGCCAATTTCTCTTCTGCTCGCCCCGAAAATAGATACCAGAACGCAGGCAAATTCAAACTCGCGAAGTCAACTTAAACAGTAGTGACATGATTGTCTATGTAATAATCACTAAGCACTAAGCAGAAGAACGAACCTGAGGTCAAAATCGAGCACAGAGCAAAACTGAGCACGAACCACAAGTCCCAAACCACTCTGAACGCTTTAATTACAATCCGAACAGCTTGCCAATGGAAATTAAATGAGGTGAGAAACAAAAATCATCGAGGCTATAATCAAATCAAGAGCGGAGACGGAAAAAATTGAACGGACCGCTTGATTCATTGGATCTGATTACAATCCTCATCGATGGAGAATTGAGGACCCGAGAACTTCACTCCGCGTTGGTGCAAAGGCTATTCTGTCAAGACTCCAAATCAGTGATAGACCAACACAAATGAGAGAAAGGACAGAGAATTTAGAACATACCTCCATCAAGACTCGCATGCAGCAGCGCCGTCGATGAGAAGAGAACCCAGAACTAAAATCGACAACCCGACCTTTCGGCTGAGATTACAATATCTGATTATGAGAAGTAGAAGGAACAAATTGACGATTGTGGGAAGGGTTTGGTTCCACTCCGGCCGGTTGATGAACAAGCAAGGAGTAATAGAAAGAACGAAACGAAGAGAAGAGAAGGAAAACAGAAAGGTAAAGTTGGGTTGGCAATATTTTTACTTTTTCATAGGATGAAAAACTAAAATCGTTGAGAGAGGGAAATTTTACGAAAAAATGAAAAAAGAGGCTCCAAATGTTCCCTCATGCACTTTTCGAATTTCTTTTTCCTTTTTCATACGGTGAGAAATTAAAATGGGAAAGGAGGGAATTAAACTTTAAAAAAATGGCTCTAAGTTTCACCCTAATTAGTAATTAGTAACGGGTTGTTTGCTTCGTGGAGTTGGATAATATCAAGAAGTTCACTCTCAAGGTAAAAACGTAAACATGATTTTATTAAGGTTGGACCATTTACAATCCAAACTAGTAATTCGATATGTCACATTTCAATATATCCATACAACAAATGGACATGAATTCATGAATAATTTTGCTTGTAAGTATGTCCTTCGTGTAGTACATTAGTAAGTACGTGAAGGTTTGCCAGTTACTTTTGGTTATAGAGGTCAAGTGAAAAGTAAACAGAAATTAATAAACCGAGAAATTGACAATTAGATGGTATATTCTCAAACTTTGTTACACCCGACTAGGGCTGTTAATGAGCCAAGACAAACTGATGCTCGACTCATTTATGAACGAAGTGAGTCGATCCGAACACAAGCCAACTCATTTATTGAGTTTTGGCTCATCATTTCGATCAAAATTTTGGCTCATCGTTTCGATCAAAATTTTGGCTCGAGCTAACAAGCCAACTCATAAGGTATAGATCAATTTTCTCATAAGTATAATCAAGATGGCTCGCTAGTTACAATGTTGAGACATCTCATGAGCTCATATTGAATCAAATGAGCTTTTATCGAGTTCGAGACCAAACCGTTCGCGAATAGCTTGGTTTGTTAACAGCCCTACACCCGGGACAACCGTTTTAAATTAGTTAGATATAATATCTAATTCGAACGTTTTGTCATTGGATTGTGTATTTATATGTATCTTATAGGCAGTCGTATTTGGAGATTGCCTATTCCTTTTGAAGTGCTTTTACAAAATACTTCACGTCCTGTTGGTTTAAACCGAAGATGAAACCTTTGAATAACAGGTATGGACAAAGAAGAGTGTTCCAAAACAATACAAAAGAGTTGCTTTTGCATAATATAAGTAGAAGACGATCCAAAGTGACATAATCCCAAAGTAGAAATAAAGAAGAGTGTTCCAAAACAAGATATAAAAGGTCTTACATCAGTTAAGTAAATTTTTTTATTTATATGTCTTATGAAAAACAAGTCAATTCGATATTTGGCCATAGTAATAACTTAAAACCCGGATCAATCTGGTCTGTGTTAAAAACGGATAAAGAAAAACATTTCTCATAATCCCAAAGTAGACATAGAGAAGAGTGTTCCAAAAACAAGATATAAAAGGTCTTACATCAGTTGAGTAAAAAACTTTATTTATATGTCTTATGAAAAACAAGTCAATTTCATATTTGGTCATAGTAATAACTTAAAACCCGGATCAATCTGGTCCATGTTAAAAACGGGATAAAGAAAAAATGAAATGTTGTTGATGGGTGTCGAAACCAAGCCATAAGTTGGGCTTGCAAACCACTAATCCGCTGGACTACAATCAACGTTCTTTGTTCATTTATGTACGCTTATTATTATGAATCACGGAAACTAATGGCTTGCCACTTAACCAACAAAACCAAGTTGTCCAAGCTGATTAACAAGCTCAATAAATTATTAACATTTGTGGGCCAAAAGCAGCAATCATTGGGCCAGAAGATAACCATAACTAGCATCCCATTTCAATGAATCACTTATTGAAAGTCTTCTGGACTTATTTTGTTCATGAAAACAAGCCATTATTATATAGCTGTAGTGAAGTGTGATGTTTATTTTCAAGCGATGTGGTAGAATTGTTGCTTCCTACGTGGACTATATTGTTCAGCTTGTAAAACTAACGATCCTAGCTAGCTAGGTAGGTATATATTTTGACATTTTTTTGCAATCATTCCTTCCTATTGATAGATGTTTATATTTAAGAACCTTCGTATTTTAATTTTCAAGTTCGCTCTTTGTTATTGATTTTCAAGTTCGCTCTTTGTTATGAATCACGGATACTAATTTTTTATTGTTTGTGGCATGTAGTGTAGTAGGAAGCAACAATTCATTAAGAAGGGCAGAACCCGTACAAAAAAACATTGTGTTCACACACTTAGTACACTTGGATAACAAAAGAGAAATGACATTAAGGCGGACACTAAGCAACTTTAGTAGATTCTATTGACATTGCTGAAATGGTATTCAGTTTCGGCGAGGAAAGAATAGTTTTACCAATAACAGCTCAAAATACGCATCGTTCCAAGGACCCAATGTGACCATAACCTCATAAGAGTTTCCATCAAGCAAGTTGACAAGGGTAACGAAATCGGCATTGGCCATGTCTTCATCACTTACTACATCTGCAAGGATTTTGCGTAAGTTTGTCGATAGGAAAACAACCTCAACATCCAAATAGTCATCCTCAATAACTAAGTTGATCAAATGAACTCTACATGCAGCACACCATGATGTCCTCAACTCGGTGACACGTCCGGAGATGAGGTAAGAAGTGCCCTGGTGTTTAAAACAATAAATGGATTTTCAAAAAAAAAATAACAAGCATTAACAAACACAATAAGTGCAAACGAGATCGAGAAGGATGAATGAAAAAAAAAAGTTTATTTCAATAACCTGATCGTCACCATTCTCTTGCAACAATATAAGATTGATTGAATCCATAAAGTTAGACATAGCTACTGCTTCCTCATACGTCAGATAACCAGGCTCAACCATAAAATCCCTATAAATAAAACCGTTAGTAATGGCTGACAATAGGAAAAGGAAGTGGAGTAGACTGTCCTAAGGATTAGTTGGTAAACAATACTTATGGGTACCATTGAGATACATCATCCATTGTCAGAAAATTACACCACGGAAACCCTGCTCAATTTCGGTTCTTGCACATACTGTTGATGTTCTATAGGAGTATAAGAACACATTATGTCAGCTACTCTAATCCACCGTACCAAATAGTTAAAAATCATTTACAGAAAAGTACATGCGGCGGTGGAAATGTGGCCGACGACAACGCGTGGTTAGTCCAGCAGATCGGGAAGGAACACGACGATTGGAATTCCTTTTTTCCACCGGATTTTTCCTTCAAACTAGTATATTTTAAAGGGTTTTGTTTGCTTCATTTCAAATTTCATGCAACAAAAGTGAAACTAAGAAAGGTATTTTTGTCTTCACAATTATTAATTTACTTTGCATGAAAAAGATATCAACTTTATGATTCGAAGTATGGTCTCTTTAGACAAAGAAAAGCATCATAGCCGAATATATTAAACAAATATGTTGTATATTTTTTATTACAACTGCAAACTCCTTGTCGCAGAAGAAGACTGTCGTTCACCGTTCGCCGCCGCCGGTTAACTTTCAACCCACTTTGTTCGTCGCAACCTAGGGTTTTGCATACTCTATCTAATCCACAAGAAGAGAGGAATCCAAAAGTAGTAGCGGAATCAATTTTTGCTCACTCGATTTTGGCTCGGGAGGCACTACAAAAAAGAGGAGGTTTGGGGACGACAAAAGTCGTCCCCGGAAATAGGAAAAATCGTCCCTATAATTTTTGGGGACGACTAAGTGGTCCCCAAAGAGTGGTTCCCTATACTCTTGTCCTCTATTTTTTTGGGGACGACAAAAATGTAGGTCGTCCCCATTACTAGGGACGACAGTCGTCCCCGATATGCGCAAGTCACCGTCTCGTTTCTTGTCCATGAAGGACAATATGTCGTCCCCATAGTTATAACTTTAGCGACAACAAGTCGTCCCCATAGCTATAACTTTAGCGACAATAAGTTGTCCCCTTAACATCATTTCTAGGGACAAATTGTTGTCCCACATAATTGATTTCATAATTGCATTGGACCAATATGGGGATAATTTGTTGTCCCCTTTTCTTTTTATAAGATCGAAGTGTCGTCCCTATAGGTGTCAAATTGGACTCCAAAATTTGTCCCCAAAAGCTTTCTTCAAGGACTACGAGTGGTTTCCTATACTATATCTTTAGAGACGACAAGTTGTCACCTACGACTTTTAGGGACAAACAATTGTCCCTACACTTGTGTATTGGGGGACGAGGAGTTGTCACTTATACGCCTTTTGGGAAC